TGAATAAGATATAAGTTCATGAAATTAGTAGACATTTATAAATTGTAAGTAGACATCATCTGATTAAAAAAGATCTGTTTAGTACCTTTTTAATTTATTATTTCTCATGGATACAAATAAATTAGTGAAATGAATAAAACTCATTTATTTTTCTATGTAGATTTCCAAATAATATTGACGATCGAACTATTTGGGTAGCAAATTAAGGAGAAAATATAAAGATTTTTTATTGTAGCATTATTTTGATACTATTAAAAAATTAACTTGAATTCAACTATATTTAACTGTATTAATTTTAAAGCAAATAAAATTGTATTTTAATTTTTCTATAAAGACGTGATTTGTTAATAGTTAAACTCTCGTTTTTTTTAATTCTTTGAACGTGTTTTTATACATTATTACTACTTCCAATTTTTAAAATCTGAATAATTACCCGCGAGTAAAAATTCAAGCACGCTTATACTCATTGCGGAAGCATCACATTCTATCGAAGCTTCAAAACATTGTGTGTTAAAGGTATCTTATTGCTGTGTCCATCTATGTTTATACGTCCATGAACAGTACTAATTATTCTTGTTCTAATTGTAATTATGCGAAGGATGTAATGAATATAGATGGTGTTGATACAGGTCATCACGTATTTGATACAAACTGTCCTAGCTATCTCCGACAAATTAATAAAAACAAAGAGAAGATAAATTATCAAAGATAGCAATCAAAAAGTAGCGTTAATGATCATAATGGTAGAACTGTACTAAATGTTTATTTTCAAAATGTGGGTGGTTTAAGAACAAAGCTTAAGGATTTAAGCCAGACAGTGTCATGCGCCGATTACAATGTGATTGTTTTAGTCGAAACTTGGTTAAATTTTGAATTCCATGATGCAGAATTGGGGTTAGAAGACTTCAACATTTTTAGAAGTGATAGAAATTATAATACTGGTGTCAAACAACGTGGTGGGGGAGTATTAGTAGCTGTGGCCAAACATTTGGAAGTGTGTGAGGTTTTTGTTCCTCAAAATAGTGTTGAGCAAATGTTTGTTTCACTTAAGTGTCAAACTGTGGTATTTGGTGGTGTTTATTTACCTCCTGCATCTGATAGGCATGAATATATAGAACACTGTGATAGTATTGAATATATATAATAAGATTCCGGGTTGTAAATTAATAATTTGTGGGGATTATAATTTACCTGATGTAGTTTGGGTTAACAGTATTTATGGTACCACGGTACAGGCTAACCAAAACTCACCAGCTAACGATATATGTAATATCATTAATATTTGTGACTTATACCAGGTCAATACGATATCCAACCGGAGAAATGTTTTTCTTGATTTAATTTTTTCTAGCTTTCCTGATATATCTGTTTCTGTACCTCTGGATCCGTTATTTGAGGAGGGATTTCATAATACACCAGTCAATTTTGACGTAATTGTTGATATAAAAGAATCTGTCTTTAATTATGAAGAATACTATTTTGACTTTAAAAATGGGTTATGGTAATGAAAGTAGTGAAAATGGTTCAGATATTGTGAATTTATTTGCTGGGTTCTTTTCGACTGTCTATAATAAAGGAAAAATAAATGAGATTCCTAATTTTAAGTACGAAAATTATGTTAATGCTAATAATTATTTAATTAATGTTAAGGATATTATTGATAAGATACAGAATAATCTGTGGAAACTGACAGCGGGTCCAGATGGTATACCAATGTATTTTATTAAAAAATGTGTATTCACTCTTGCTAAACCTATTCAGTTATTATTCAATAAGTCATTAACTTCTTCTACATTTCCTGATTTTTGGAAAGTGAGTTTTTTAAAACCCATTTTTAAATCTGGTCAAAATAATAATGTTGAAAATTACAGGGCTGTTTGTTTGCAGTCTGAACTACCAAAGTTGCTTGATTTTTTTGTTAACCATATGTTAACCTACGATTGTAAAAATTTAATTCTCGGCCAACAACATGGTTTCTATCAAAAGAAATCTACTTGTACAAATCTTATTTTGTATTCAAACTTCATTGTTGATTCTATGGAATCGGGAAACCAAGTTGACTCCATATATGCTGATTTTGCCAAAGCATTTGACAGAGTAAATCACGAAATATTAATTGCTAAACTTCGTGGATACGGAATTGGAGATAATTTATTGGGTTGGATCACGAGTTATTTAACAGATCGTTCACAAATAGTAAAATATGGTGATTTTGTTTCTGAAGCGATTAATGTTACTTCGGGTGTACCTCAAGGTTCTCACTTAGGCCCACTTCTATTTAATCTGTTTGTGAATTATATATCATCAGTAATTAATAATAGTGAATTTCTATTATTTGCTGATGACATAAAGATCTTTAAAGCAATTAAAAATACCCCTGATATGGATGCCCTTCAGTCTGACTTAAATTAATTTATCTCGTTGGTGTGACATTAATCCTTATATTTAAATATAAAAAAGTGCTATAAAATTACGTTTTCCAGAAATACTAAACATCAGTTATATAGAACATACATACTTAAGGGAGTATCGATTACAGAAGTAAATCAAATTAGAGACCTTGGAATTACATTTGACCAAAGACTAATGTTTGATAGGCATATTAATAATATTACATCGCAGGCTTATAGAATGCTCGGCTTTGTTCAAAGGAACTCCCGAGAATTTTCAATATTTACTTTCAAAATTTTGTATTGTTCTCTAGTTCGGTCCATTTTGGAATATTGTAATATTATTTGGTATCCATATTATAATATGTATATTGATCAGTTGGAACGACTTCAAAATAAATGCCTAAGAATTTGCAGGTATAAAATGGGTTTTAATAGAACTAACTGTGATTATAACTATATTCTTTGTCAACTTAATATAAAAACTTTAGAAAATAGAGAATCTGAGTGTGAATTGCACTTTTTACATAAAATTCTTAATGGTTATGTTGATTGTCCGGAACTGCTGGAATTAATTGTTTTTAATGTAAATTCTAGAAGAACACGCTCTCCTGACCTGTTTAGACTAATGTTTCATCACACTAATTATGGTAAAAGTGAGTCAATCACAAGGATGTTGAGAACTGCCAATAATTTGCAAGATAGTGTTGAATTGTTTAATTTATCCGTGTCCTCGTTCAAGAATAGTTTAAAGAAATTGAGACATTAATGTTATTAATACTTTTTAAAATTGTAATATATGACTACAGTTTATATGTTAATTATATGTGTATTTTGTAATTTTTGTAAGGAAAAAGGGTTCATCCCGTTAAATAAACAAACAAACAAACAAAAATAAAGTTCAGCAATAGAGATTAACCAATTATGATGCTCCTGTGTTAAAAAGGTTCACTTTTCCATCTTGCTTGCTGAACTACTGGAAGAAAGAGTGACACTTTCCATCCGACAACAATCCAAAAGCTGTTAACCTAATAAAGACGTTACACGTTACGTTGTAAGATGAGTTACATGAATCTGATATACCCAAGCATTGGGTATATCAGAAAAAATCAAACTGTTAGAAGTTGGTCTAAAGTTCTTAGAAGATAATATTGATGAGGAGAAAATTGCAATATTTAAAAATTTAGATAAATGGGATGAAGACATACGTAATCACCCTTTATTTTATTTTTTTTTAACGAAAAAATGTCTGAACTAAACATTTTTAAATCCCAAATAATAAAAAATGGAGATTTAAAAACAAAAAATCCAAATGAAAATTTGAGGGAAGAAACTGAAGTACCTTCTGAATCTAATGTTCCTCTAGAGGAGCCAAATATTGGTAATGAGTTATTTAAAGCACTGTCATCTCCTGTTAACTCACCAACTAAAACAACAAAACATTTTACACCAGAAAGAAGTCAAACAGAAGCCCTGCAATTGAGACAACCATTGACATCATCATATGTGGTTCCATCTCCATTTAAAAGAGCTCTATTTTGGCCTGAGCTTAAACAGTCAAAGATATTAAAACGAGCTAAGAAAGAAAAAGTACCTTCAGTTATTACTGTAAAACAATGGCAAGAATATCAAGAGAAAAAGCAAATGGGAAAAAACAGTACAAGAGGAAAATAAAAAACAAGGAAAGAAAACGAAAAAAAAAAATGAGAAAAAATAAAAAAAATTTAAATTTTTTTATTTAAAATTTTACAAACGAAAAGTATTTATTTCTTAAAACTCAAAGACTTATGAAGAATGGCGAGAGTCTGGTGATAGCCTTGATGATATCAGTTTTGTGTGGAGTGCTACAAACAATATTAAACAAAAACATAAAGTGTGCGATACAGAAAAACATACAAATTTAGATTTTAAAATTGAAGAACGTAATTCAGACTAGATAACTGAAAATGTATTCATTCTTGTCATTTCCATGTAAAAAGAAGGAATATAAATTTGTGTGTTATATAAGAAGTGTGCAACAATGATGAAGTTGAAGGTATGACAGCTTGTAATAAAACAAAAACCTTATTTAAGTTGAATAAAAAGGACATGTTTCATTAATTTTTCTCAAATCCTTGAAAAGGTTGAATTTCCGAATATAACTTGTGCTGGAGATCAATTAAAATATGAATTTAAGAAAAAGATTGAAGTTGACGGATAGTTAAAATATTTCAATTACTGGATCTTGCAGGTGTCAACTACTGGAATTTTGAAAATATTAAATGTCATCTACTGGTTAATTTGCAGCCTGTAAGAAAATCTAAAATTTTTTGTTTAATATTACATTTTGTAAATATTTTCAGTTAGTTTATAATTTAGAAACATTAACAACTATCCTGAGACACAGTTAATAAAAATCTTTCTTAAACTGTCAACTACTGGTTCAGTTACCTTCTTATGTGTAGGAAAAATTCTAATAATTTTTTTATTGGTAGTCAACAACATGCACTATACAAATTTAAGTTTACCAAAATTAAATTAAATGGCTTTCTTACATTTTCTGCCCTTAAATTTTCTCATTATGGGATTACACATCATATGGCATATGAAATAAAATTACTACTGGAACTTCTTGTTTTTAACATGTATTTATATCTAGCTGTCATTTTCTTTATTTTACTTATTCATAATGTACAAACCATCACAATTTTTTATAAGATATACTTAACAAAATCTTATAGTCATCTCATTATATTGAACAAAATGCATAAAGTTATGTCACCAGTTCATATGCAATTTTACATTTACTCTGTAAAGTATTCATTTCATGCATAATGTCCTTTTTGTCTATGTTGTTTCAGAGCTGATTTGGATATATATGTTTCCCCACAATCTTTGCAAGAAAATTTCTTCAAATCAACTTCATGGGAATGAATAAACATGATGTGTCTGTCCAGTTGCGCTTTGTGAGGGGCTCTAAACAGACATAGTGTGCAAGCATATAAATGTAATCCTGGTATATTACCATGAAACTTTTGATGTTCTACAATCTTCCACCGCTTTGCTGAAGTATGTGGGCATTTATCACAGAAGTACTTTCTTTGAGGATCTGTATTGTGTTGTGTTTCACAATGGTCTTTGAGAACAGCAAAACTGTTGGTTTTAAAGCAGCATGAAGGACACTTAAGCGCTTCTAAAAATTCCATGTTACATTGGATCTAAAAAAATATATCAAATGAGACAATTTAATGGAACAAAAAACATGGGCCTTTATTTCTGGTCATTTGTAATACAGCCCCTTTAATAATTGTGAAACCTTCTTGTTGATACCTTTGTGTTCTGTTAATTATTTATCAGTTATTTCTAATAATCTACAGTAAGATATACGAATATGTAATTAATAAAAACCAGTTAAAAATATACCTACAAATGGAGTTTTCTTTATTGAATCTGTAAAACATTAAGTGATATTCTACCTATCTTGCCACTACAAAAAAATCTATTATTGCCTATTATTATAATAAATAAAATAATAACTAATAAAATAACCTATTTTCTACTTCTCTTTTATTAATTATGAAGTATTCTGACAACTTAATTGATAGATGTCAAGCCAAAGAAGAAAATCTCTCTTCTTCCATATCAAGCGTAGTCTATATTCTTTGGTTATGTTCTGTTTTCTTTTCTGTTCAGAGTGTTCAGAGATATGTAAGAGAGTTCAATGCACCCAAAATCCAAATTCAAGTTAACCTAAAGTAAAGTGACCTAAATAAGTTCACAATACATACCCAAAGTTATTACCGTTACCGAATACCGTTGTATTTCCATACCATAGATAAAATTGTATTTCCCATTTCCTGTAAGCACGCTGTGAACTATATACCTGCAAATATGGCTGTTTATGAACAATGTTATGTTTTTGAGAATAATCAGTATGTAATAAGTGTAATTGCTGATATTCACGAAAGGCTGAAATGTGGTAAGTAATGGAGATGGGTTTTATGGAGTAATTTTTATTTTCATAAATATTGATTTCTAATTTTTAGATGCGGAGTACTTCCAATCATTAATAGCGGGAGGATCTGTAGAAACTGGAGCATTGGAAACTTCCGAAACAAGTAAGAATCTTTTACTTCCATTCAGCTTATATATTGTTTCCCCCCTAAAGTATATCTGATACCAAAGAATATAGATGCGTAAGCTATTCTTGCTGATACATTTGTTTAACTAAAAATTGAAAATTGAATTCTTATTTTTAGATGCTGAGTACTTACAACCTTTGGTAGTGGGAGGATCTGTGGGAACTGTACCACTGGAAAATTCTGAAACAAGTAAGAACCTTTTAATTCCATTCAGCATGCTTATTGTTTATACTCCTAAAGTATATCTTTGATGAGTTTGTTTTACTGCATATAACAGGTTGGGCTTTATAATAAATATTTGCTTTCTGTGGTGTAGGATGTTTCAAGACTGAATTTGTTGCAAGTGAATATCCCTGTATAGTTTAAACTCATTATCTCCATGTATCATAGCTTTTAATGAATATTTGTCTCATAATCTCTTTTGTGATAATGTTATCTCATGTGACTAGGGATCATAAATATGTGAAGTTTTTCACAAGACATTTTTTCAATACAAATTCCTTCACAGTTTACTAGCATACAAATATTTTGTTATGGCTGGATTAATTTTCAGAACACTGGTTCTATTTGATGAAATGGAATGTCTCTCATCATCATCTCTCTTCTTCGACTTGCTATTATACCGTTATAATAGTATTTGACATTTATTGGTTCTTTATTTTATATCCAAAGTTTCCTTTCCACTTACACTATTGTATTAAGTTGGCTTTTTCTCTTGAGAATTTGCCATTGAAATAATATCTTGCATCTTGTCGACTTTTGCGTGTAAAAGCCACATTCACACTTAATAACGCTTATCTTCCAATTTATTAATATATATATATATATATATATATATATATATATATATATATATATATATATATATATATATATATATTATAATACTGCCTTTATTTGCCTATCAGCTATGGTCATTTATTTCTGATGCATTTATTAAAAATTCATTACATACTGGTATACTTAATTTTTATAAAGCCAATTTCCATTTGTCTCTTTGTTGCTGCCAATGCCGAATATTATTGGTCTCTTTGATAACAATATGCTGACCATTGTTAGTCTATCTCTTTGATAACAATAGGAACCTAGCAATGAAAATTGATATGTTGGAAAATTTTTGCCTAAATAAAGTTTAATAAGATTGGTGATGGTGGTATTCTAGTGGTGGCTATTTATTTTAGGTAAGGAATTTGTGTGGACTAAAGAGGCAACACAACTCCAACAATACTCGCAATAATAAGTGAGTACATGGCAAGGAAGGAGAATTTTAGGGACCTCAAAATAAAAAAGAAAACTTTGTGGGGTCAAATCAAACATTTGTTTTCACAATATGGCCAAGAAGTAAGTGAAGATTTGATAGATCGAAAGTGGAGGAATTAAAAAAAAAAAACACAAACATTAAAGATAATGTAAAATTCACTGGGCAGAGTAGAGTCTCCTGGGAATATTTCAATGTATTTTATGAGATATACTCAGGAGATAAAACTATTCATCTGCCCAAGACCACATCTTCATTTACTTTGGGTAAAGTAGAGGCACCCTTATGTTCTATACCACTTAAGAGGAGTTGCAGTCCAGGAGCTGAGGAAGGATCAACCTCTTCAGAAACAAATACATTATTGAAGAGGAGTAGGGCAAATCATCTCTACTGGTGTAGAGAAAAGACCTTGGCTATGGAAGCCACAAAAATAGAGACTTTAAAAGAAATTAGTAGGGTTTTAAGGGAACAAAACAAGCTTACTAAAAAGAAAATTGCCATTTTAGAAAGCATTGGGGATAAGTTATAAAAATAAAAAATCATTCATTTATTTTAAGATAGACTGTATGACTTATACACACTTCTAAAATATAGGTTAAACATGCAACAGGTGGATGTTTTCAAATAAATGATAGTGTGTAAAGTACCCACTATCATCTATTTTTTAAATAAATTTGATTTGAAAACATTAACACTGTTGCCTGTTTGACCTATATTTACTTATTTACCAGATGTCCTCATTTTTATCCAACTATAACAAAAATACTAAAACGAAGTGTTAAATAATGTAAATATTGTTGAACTAATGATTAAATTGAATCAATACAATTTTCATGAAAATCTTATAAAAATGAAATGATTACTCCAAGTTAAAGGTGTCACATCTTTGATCACATTATCAGTCAAATAGTGCTTACAGATTTTATATCCACCCAATCATAAAATTCACTAAAGTTATTTCCTGGTATCTGAATTCTGTTTATAGGAGAGAATTTGCCATAGATGGTGTGATAATGTTTTATAGAATTAGTGTTAACTTATTATCAGAACAATTAGTGATATGGGCAAGTAATGTATAGATAAAATCATAATCTTGCAAGGAACTGATATTTAGCGTTGACCATCGTTCCATCAAGGACATGTTCTTTAAGTTTAATCTAAAGCACAAATCGGGACAAACTTATTTTGAATTTTTTCAAGGGTGTAAATATGGTTAAAATAGTATGATGACCATACTGTAGAAGCATAAGACAGGATGCTACATGTGAAAGTAAGACATAAACGTCTACTTGGGAACCAACAGATCTCAAGAGTTTCTTGTGATATAACCTAGAATACAGTATGCTTTATTCAACAAATTGTTGATGTCCAGGATAAATGACAAAGAACTGCCAAAGAACGCCCCCAAATCTTTTATTTTAGTCACTAAAGGATATAACAAGAACACATATCTTTATTCAGCTGGAGACCAATTGTACAGGGGAATCAGATCATACATCATCTCTTACAACTGAAGGAATTTATTTACTTTTTTTTTAACATTTATTTATTTTTAGAATTTTTTGTAACTTATTCCTTATGGTATTCTATGCATTTGAACACAATGTTGGGAATCAATCACAATATGTTTATTAACAAGTTTTATTACATAGTTGTTTAAAACAATTGCTACTAGAATAAACATCTTATAGCTTTAGATACATCTTTTATTTTAATGTTTGATTTTACATATCATAACATGTGTAGATGTAGTGTTATTTTTTTTTTCACCAAGTTTATGAACAATTAAATTCATATTAATAACTACATCTAAATTTGATATAATTTTATTAAAATTTCACCTACAATATAAGAAAGTTTTATATTTTGTAGCTATAGTATTTTTGAAGTGCTAATTACTACAGTTAATAGTGTCAGCATATGCCAGAATCATCTGGCAAGATAGAACATTTCCAGCCATATATTACTTTATTATATGGACATATCCATTGAATTTATTTAACTTGTTTAGAGGTATTTCTTGATTGGATTCCTAATTCCTTTTCAGCTGTTTCCTAATAGCAAAAAGGTGATGATCTATTATTGATCTTTACAATTTAATGACAGTTTGGTTCTATTCCTTCATGTTTTGTTCATACTTTCTTTTCACTTCATATATTAACTATTAAAAATGATTATGTCGAATTTGATCATTACTTGATAGTTAATGTTATCTAAAAAGAAAACTCTGAAAACTTTTGTTTTCTACATCTCCATAACTTTTCTTATAATTTCTTCACACTACAGCTATTTCAGCATTTTGCCTTTCTCAATTGACAAACAAATGTCTGCTGTGTCTACACTTTATAGTCTCTGACTGAACAAATAAAGGAGGGGAAAGCTGTATGTCTCAAACTGGTCATTCAGAATTATATCTGTATATTTTAATACTTTCACTGCCATGAGAAGCATAATGTGATACACGGGTAATATGATTTTACAGCAGCGAGAATCTAATATCGAATTCACACGCATTTGTAATGCTCACACCACAAATTATGAAAGCTCTGAGAAGCAATTGTGGTCTCTCATATCGTTAATGCAGTTTAAACGTAGACGGCTGTAAGCAACAGAAACTATATTTGGCTTCTAAAATATGTGAACCAATGTTTGATTCTCACAGCCTGAAAAGTGGGTTACTGATAAAAACTACTTAAGTCAACTATTATATAAAATACATTGTTATTTTAATAAGAAAACAAAAACTTTATATATTAAAAAAATATTGTTTTCATTACACTATTTAGTTTCTCTCGTTTATTTTAACTCATTTTCACAGTATAAAGAATTGCACAGTGAAAGATTACACAGTGAAATCAACAAACACCTACCGGCTAACAGTTGGAAATAAATAATATTCATATAGAGCAAAATTGTATTTTTCTGAAAAATGGCCTATATTGTGGAAATGGACATATAATTGTAATAAACGATATTACGTTGATAAACATGTACATAAACTCCATCTACAAAAAGGGAAACAGGAATGACTGCAGTAATTACCGAGGTATCAGCATTACGTCATCCACTGGCAAACTGTATGAAAGAGTTCTGAAAGCCAGAATAGAAAAAGAAGCCACA